AATTTAAGTATTTTTAGACATGTTTTCTTTAAAAAATAATTTAGAGAGTAGCTTCAACTTTTTCCAAGGATAATATAGAATATTTTATATACTTTTTATATATGTAATATAATATTTTAGATGTCTTTAATTAATGATAGATATATAACGAGAATAAGATTTATCACACATTTCTCATCTAAAAATATTAAATACACATAATAAAAAGTTAATAGAAAAAATACAGATTTAAATATTGTCTTCAATTTATTTTACATTTTACATTAACCTCAATCTGTATTTGTAAAATTAATAAATCTGCATAAAATAGTTATGCGTACAAAATTTGTTTTTAATGGTAACAACTTATAAAAAAATAATAAGAAATACATTCATAATTCTCGATATCATGTCATTATTTATTTTTTATATAATTTATTTAGACTTATGATATTTTAGATACTTTTATATAATATTTTATCATGTCATATTATATCTATATACATATACATATATATACATATTAAATTTAAATATTTTTAAACATGTTTTCTTTACAACCGAGTTTAGAAAACATCTTTCATACAAATGTAAAATTCAAATGTTTTTAAACATGTTTTCTTTCCAAAATAATTTAAAAGAATTGTAGATGACTTCACATGTTTTAATAATAATACATAAACAAGTACATACTTTTACATGTTTTTAATATTTTAAACATGTAAACTTTATGTTCTCTACACAAGTTAATTTTATATTGCTGATACTAAACTGATATACGACGTTAACAATAATGCTAAAGAGTCAACAGTTGGCTCCTTAGCATTATGTTGTTATGTGATTGTTAACAACGATGTAACTTGTGATTAAGTGGGTAATTTGGAATGATTTGGACGTAAAGCATGTAAGATTTACTCAACAATGGCCCCGGTCCGAGGTGAACCGAGGTGAAGAGCCGTGATGGGCTTTTACGTGTTACTTAGTAAAGTTTTTTCAGTTCGGAGAGAGATCCTCGTACAAATGTCATGGGTCCGCTATTTATAGTAATCTCGGGTTGATACATGGGGATCCGTGCATTGTTTTTTTGAATAAAGTGACTTTTTATGGGCGGTTTGAGGCAGGGGGTCCCACATAAATGATGACAGATCTTGTGGAGCAGGAGAGTCACTCGTAGGCACCTTGTCACCTGCTTAAGGAGGTGACGACCTCGGTTCATGTTGACCTCGGTGGATGTTGACCACTTCGGTCTTCGGTAGTTCGGTCCGGTTTGTCGCCTGAACCGGGGTGGTGTTTGTAATAACGTCGGTTCAATGATCATCTTCCTTCTAATGTTTCGTCTGGAATCTCTTAATGCAGGTTTACCGATCCGGTTGTTAACAGAGAGGCCCCCAATATCGATGGGCATACGAAGTGATGGTCGTTGATGTTGCTATGTCAGATATTTAGAGACCCTGGATCGGTAAGAAGTCGGCGGTAGGATATGGTCTATGGTCTTCGGAGGGTCATCTTCGGTCTTCTGAGTCCGATGTAACCGAAGTGAGTCATCTGTCCGAAGTGGAGACTGTATTCCGAGGTGAAGACACTTGGTGAATTTCGGACAATCTTCAAGCAGTTATGACAGAAGAAGTGAACGATCGTAACGGTCAACGAGTAAATGTTTAGGCCGAACGGTCGCGCCGTAATGGTCTTAAATGAGGTAACGGTCGACTTTAATAGGCAGCCACGTGTAACAGTAGGTGTCTTATCAGGTGAAGAAGTGGCGTCGGTTAGAATTAGGGGTCGCGTCGGTTCGACGCGCCCCCAATGAAGATACTCAACGGTCATAAATTGGCGATTATAAATAGGGTTTAGCAATATCTGATCGGGTTTTCTTCACCTTTGCTTTTGTTTTCGAGCTTTCATATCAATCGTTGTTTGAGTTCACCTGATATTCTGAAGAATCTTTCCCGCTTGCTGTGTGCGTCGTTTTTGGTAAGCTTTTTCTTCAATTTCTTTTGTTATTTCTTTTGTATTCCGTTCAATCGTACGATGGCGTCGAAAGGAAAGGGAAAGGCGGTGGCAAGTTCATCGAGCACTGAGTCGGTTCCGTTGGACGTTTACCACGATTCGGAATTGGTCGAGTTGGCCTTTGAATACCACCGGTGGGACCCGTCGTTGGTAAGGCATTTGAATATCCAATTAAACGATGAGGACGGTGACTTGGTA